AGCTGCCGCCGAACAAGCGCGGCAGAGCCGCTCAGGCATTTCGGCGCCTGTCTCCCGCAGCGCCCCAGTGCGGGGTGCGGGGTTGGGGCTTGCGATCCCCGCCGCCCCGTCACAGCCCCTCTCTAGTTTCAACTGTTTCAGAATTATAGTAAGGTACTAGAAGGCTCTTCCAGCAAAACTCAGAGAAAAACCTGGAAGAAGCCAAATGAAACCAGCCTCAGACAAAAGGAGGGAAGCCACACAAAAAACCTGTTGTCATGGACTAAGTTCAATTGTATATGGTATCCCATCATGTTTTGCAAAGGCCTAATGTAAAACACAGACAAACAGGAATGAAAAAATACATTCCCTGGTTGTGAAGTATTGGAATGGATATAGCCAGGAATAAAAAGTTTTGAGGTGAACATTTCTGTTTGTCCCCACAAAAAAAGTCACTGCTATTTTGTCTCATGGATCTGTGACTGAGCTCAATCTAAGACATTTTTTTAAAAGAAACAACCTCTGAGTTGCAACACACCAGAGATTCAAAGTCTGCAGAGAATCTATGCAGCTGAATAAAGGAGCTGTCAACTGGCATTTGCTTTTCTATGTGAATGGATGCATGCTACCAACAAAGCTTCAAGATCACTTGGGTCATATCCTTCCCATAAAGTGTCACCAAACCATCAGAATCTAAAATTTCTAATTATCACTTCATATTCCAATAGAAAGTGATCTGACAGAAGGAAATGACTGACCCCACCTCTTTGACGTGATATAAAATATTCCCTTAGCGCTAATGACTGCAAATCTGCTGTGCAGTCTGGTATAGTGAGTGTCCATGTTATTTCTCCCTAGCCAAGAAGTCAAAACCTCAGCTGTTACAAATCTCTTCCAAGTTGTTCATTCAGTCTCCTACAGTAATTCAGTAGTTCTCCATGAATATGCCTTCATCGCATCTCTCTTCCTTTCATCACCAAGAAAGGAGTGGAGTTTGATTCTTATCACTACACTGTTGACGAGCCGAAGTTCCAGCTGATATTGCAAATGGTTGACATATTTATATATTTCAATCTAGTTTCCACGTGGAAATAAAAGATTCTTGTCTGGAATTATTTGGGGGTAAAGACACTGAAATGGAACTAAAACAAACTGAATGAATTTCCTGGTTCTGTGAGATTTTGGCAAATGACTTAAGGCACAATCCACTGAATTCACTGGGTGTTTTTGAAATAACTGTAAAAAGGACATTTTTATTTAATTTGTGAGAAGAAAGTATCACATATATAAAATACTATGCAAATAAAATTATGTGTTTTATTCCTGAATAATAAGTAAACCTTAGAATCATAAAGTGATAAACTTAAACATTGAGGCTACGTCTACATTGGCCCCTTTTCCGGAAGGGGCATGTTAATTTCAGCGATCGTAACAGGGAAATCCGCGGGGGATTTAAATATCCCCCGCGGCATTTAAATAAAAATGTCCGCCGCTTTTTTCCGGCTTTTAGAAAAGCCGGAAAAGAGCGTCTACACTGGCCCCGATCCTCCAGAAAAAGCGCCCTTTTCCGGAGGATCTTATTCCTACTTCAAAGGAATAGGAATAAGATCCTCCGGAAAAGAGCGCTTTTTCCGGAGGATCGGGGCCAGTGTAGACGCTCTTTTCCGGCTTTTCTAAAAGCCGGAAAAAAGCGGCGGACATTTTTATTTAAATGCCGCGGGGGATATTTAAATCCCCCGCGGATTCCTCCGGAAAAGGGCGCTTTTTCCGGAGGATCGGGGCCAGTGTAGACGCTCTTTTCCGGCTTTTCTAAAAGCCGGAAAAAAGCGGCGGACATTTTTATTTAAATGCCGCGGGGGATATTTAAATCCCCCGCGGATTTCCCTATTACGATCGCTGAAATTAACATGCCCCTTCCGGAAAAGGGGCCAATGTAGACGAGCCCAGAGAGATCATCCAGACATTCCTCTGAGTTGAAGCAGGGCCAAGTATACCTAAACTATCCATGACAGGTGCTTATCTAACTGGGTCTTAAAAACTTCCAATGCTGGGGATCCTACAGTTTAACTATTTAATCTAAATCTCCCTCCTTGCGGATTAAGTTTTATTGTTCCACCTTCAGTGGACATGGTGAGCAACTGATCACCAGCCTCTTTATAATAGCCCCTGACATATTTGGAGATTTATCAGATTCCTCCCTCAGTCTCCTTATATGAAGACTAAACATACCCTGTTATATTAACTTTTTGTCATTGGTCAACTTTTGTAAACCTTTTATCATTTCTCTTATGGACTCTCTCCAATTTGTCCACATTTCTTGAAGTGTAGCAGCCAAAACAAAACACTCCAGCTGAAGCCTCAAGAGTGCCCATTAAAACAGAACAATTATCTTCTGTGCTTCACATACCACGTTCCCGTTGATTTACCTACAATGATTAGCCTTTTTCCCAATTGCACCTTTTCCACAATATGACTGCCTAATTAATTGTTCTCCATTTTGTAGTTGGGGATTTGATTTTTCTTTCCTCAGTGAAGTACTTTGCACTTCTCTTCACTTAATGTCATCTTGATATTAGACCAATTCTCTAGTTATCAATATTATTTCTATTTCTAACCCTGTCTTCCAAAATCCTTGTAACCTCTCCCAATCTGGTGTAATCCACAAATTCTATAAGCACATTCTCTACCAGGGTTGCCAACCCACAGAAATTTCATTTACAGACAAAATGGGAGGGGGGATTGGCTGGGAGGGGAGCGGGGCTGGCCAGGAGGAGGTTGTGGGGAGCGGGGCTGGCCAGAGGAGACTGGGGGGGGGAACCAGCTGGCAGGAAGCAGGTCTGGCCGGGAGGGATTGGGGGGATCA